GCTATAGCTGCAGCTATGTTAAGAGTAGCAAAGGGGATTAAGGCTTAAATATAAGTTAAAGCCTTTATAAAAATAAGATTAAAATAGTAAGAATCTTTAATAAGTACTAGCAGCGCTACTTGCGTAGACTTAAAAAAGGGGAATAAAGCAGTTTTAGAAGATATAACTATGCTTACTGCACTTAAAATATTAACTTTTTTTTTTATAATCTTTACGCTTTCTAGAACTAACTAAAGCATAATTTAAATTAATTTCTATTATGTTAGAGTCCTTATTTACAACTGCGCTAGTTTAGGGGTGTATTAGGGCTTGTACAAGGAGGAACCTTATGTTATTATTGTAGGTAGTAATTAGGTTTGCATACATGTTAAGGTTGTTTAGAAGGGGTTCTCCTACTATAGCGCGTTGTAGTTTAGTTAAGAGGGAGTTATATAAGGCTATAATTAGACTTATCTTATTTAGGCCTATATTAAATGCAAGTTAGTAAAACTTAGTAAAGTGTAAAGTAAAGCTTTTTTTTTTTTATTATAAAGTGTTTAAGTAACTTAGGGCTATTAACTTTTTATTTAGGTCTCTATAAGTTACTTACAAGAACACTATAAATTAATCTAGGTTAATAATATCTTTATTTATTAGTAAGTTAATTAAGGCTGTTACATTATAGTTAAGTTAAGAGTAGGCATATAGTAACTAGAAGTGTTTAAAGGGGAATTAGTCTATGTTTCCTTTAAGTTTATATTAGAGCTTATGTAGAAAAAAAAGTAGGTCTTTCTGTTTTCTATTAAACAGTAGGGGATTAGGAAGTTAGTTAAATTTTATTACTAAGTTAAAAAGGTTATAAGTTATAGGCAGTGTTAGGCAAAAAAGAGTTAAGCTATCTCTAGACTTCTAAGTAAGCTTTAAGGCTAGTAAGTTCTTAGTTCCTACTACTATAATAAAAGTTAAGGTAGAAATAAACTACTTAATAACATAAAGCTGTTTTTTAAAGTCCTTTTAAAAAGCTTTAAAGCTTATAACATAGTAGCTTTCTTATAAAGTAAGCGCTTTTTAAAAGGCTTTTTAGCTTACTTTAATAGCTTAAAGTTATGCAAGTACTAAGCTTATTAGATTAAATTTAAAGGCTATTCTTAGCTAGAGTTTTAACACAACATAATGTTATAATTATGCATAAGTAAGGTTATAGAGCTTTACAGAGGTCTAGTTTAATTACTACGTAAAGTATTATAGTAAGTATAAGACATTATGTAAAAAATAAAAAGGTTTAGAAGAAAATTAGTAATTAAATACTTAGCTTAGAAGTCTAAGCACTTTAGGTATAAATTAAGCCTGTTCTAGGTTTAGTTAGTGTTAAGGCAGTTTGTGCTTAAGTTTATGTCTGTGTTGTGTCATATTTATGTCAGACATGCACTAATAATACTCTAGTACATGTCTAATACAGTTATGTCTAGGATCTAGGGAGGATACTGTGACAGCCTAGCTTATTAGCCTTACTTAGGTAGTTCTTTTTTAAGTTATTAAAAAGTAAGTCTAAAGACCTTCTATATTAAGTGCTACTTAAGTGTTGTTTAAGTGTAAGCGTAAGTATACATTTTAGCATTAAAAAGAGTTAAAGTTTAAAACTTACTTTTAGTAATTAAAAGCAACTTTATGCTAATATAGCTATAGTTATTTTAGAATTAGGTTATAACATCTTATGTTTATTACATAGAGCTTAATCTACTCTTTATAGTGTTAGTAGGTAATTATAATAGTTATAGTATAAAAAATAAAACTTTTTTTAAGTTGTTTTTTATTAAATCTAGTTAGGTAAATTATTTAGGTAAGCAGTATTAATTAAAGATTTAGTTTATGCGCTAGTTCTTTATTAATGTAACCTATACTATTTACTCCTAAGTTAATAAAAGCTTATATTAAGGCTAATATAGTTTTTTATTATAAATATATAAGAATATTAACTTAGTACTTTTAGTTATTAGTAGAGAACTTAGCCTATAAGTTAGCAAAAATCTAGTGTTAAATTAGTCCTAAGAGGTAACTTAGCTTTAAAATAAGCTTTTTTACAGGCTCTTACTGCTATAGCTGTAGCTATGTTAAGAGTAGTAAAAAAAATTAAAGCTTAAATATAAGTTAAAGCTCTTATAAAAATAAAATTAAAATAGTAAAAATTTTTAATAAGTGCTAGCAGCGCTACTTATGTAGACTTAAAAAAAAAGAAATAAAGCAGTTTTAAAAGATATAACTATACTTACTACACTTAAAGTATTAACTTTTTTTTTTATAATTTTTATGCTTTTTAAAACTAACTAGAGCATAATTTAAATTAATTTTTATTATATTAGGGTCTTTATTTGCAACTGCGCTAGTTTAGAGGTGTATTAAGGCTTGTACAGGGAGGAACCTTATGTTATTATTATAGGTAGTAATTAGGTTTACATACATATTAAGGTTGTTTAGAAGGGGTTCTCCTACTATAGCGCGTTACAGTTTAGTTAAGAGGGAGTTATATAAGGCTATAATTAGACCTATCTTATTTAAGCTTATATTAAATATAAGTTAGTAAAACTTAGTAAAGTGTAAAGTAAAGCTTTTCTTTTTTTATTATAAAGTGTTTAGGTAACTTAAGGCTATTAACTTTTTATTTAGGTCTTTATAAGTTACTTATAAAAATGCTATAAATTAATCTAAGTTAATAATATTTTTATTTATTAGTAAGTTAATTAAGGCTGTTACATTATAGTTAAGTTAAAAGTAGGCATATAGTAACTAAAAGTGTTTAGAAAAAAATTAGTCTAGGTTTCTTTTAAGTTTATATTAAAGCTTATGTAAAAAGAAAGGTAAGTCTTTTTATTTTCTATTAAATAGTAGAGGATTAGAGAGTTAGTTAGATTTTATTACTAAGTTAAAAAGGTTATAAGTTATAAGTAGTATTAGGCAGAAAAAAGTTAAGCTATCTCTAGACTTTTAAGTAAGCTTTAAGGCTAGTAAGTTCTTAGTTCTTACTACTATAATAAAAGTTAAGGTAGAAATAGACTACTTAATAATATAAAGCTATTTTTTAAAGTTCTTTTAAAAAGCTTTAAAGCTTATAACATAGTAGCTTTTTTATAAAGTAAGCACTTTTTAAAAGGCTTTTTAGCTTACTTTAATAGCTTAGAGTTATGCAAGTACTAAGCTTATTAAATTAGATTTAGAGGCTATTCTTAGCTAAAGTTTTAACATAATATAATGTTATAATTATGCATAAGTAAGGTTATAGAGCTTTACAGAGGTCTAGTTTAATTACTATGTAAGGTATTATAGTAGGTACAAGACATTATATAAGAAATAAAAAAGTTTAAAAAAAATTAGTAATTAAATACTTAGCTTAGAAGTCTAAGCGCTTTAGGTATAAATTAAGCCTATTCTAGGTTTAGTTAGTGTTAAGGCAGTTTGTACTTAAGTTTATGTCTATGTTATGTTATGTTTATGTTAGACGTGCACTAATAATACTCTAGTACGCGTCTAATACAGTTATGTCTGGGATCCGGGGAGGATACCGTGACAGTTGTAGGGAATGCATTAGTGTAGGAAGGGTAGTTTAGTAGGGTCTTAGCAAAAGTAAGCAACTTAGGTGTGTAAGCAACTCGCCTGTGAAGTACGTTATAGATAAAGACTATTAGCTTATAGAAAGGGGGGTAGAGTAATAATTTTATAAATTATTTTATCTTAGGTTGCTTAGATCCTATCTAAAGGGTTTCTATATTAGCTCTAACTATAACTTAACCTAGTCTCCTATAGTTACCTCTATTTCTTTATATATTTAGTTGCACCTTGCTTTTATAGCTAGCTTAGTAGTTTTCTAATATTCTTTTATACAAGGCCTATAGGTGTTAATGGCATTCCTAGGTTCAGAGTCCCCACGCACTCCCATATGCCTCTAAGTAGACTCCCACCGCATTCAGACCTATTGTCTTGCCTGTGCTGTTACACTTATAGTCTAATTGTAGATCGTAACAAGTAGGCTAATACTGTCTAAATAAGGGCTTCTTAAGTAAAACATTAAACTTTTAGTAAATTAAATTAAAATTAAAATTATCTTAAACACCTTAATTAACTTTTATTATTATAAGTAAGTTATGCTTTTTAGGCGCTTTTTTAAAAAAAAAATTCTAAGCTTTAAAGTTCTTTTTAAAAAAAGTTTATTTAAGTATAACTTTAAAAAATTACTAAGCGTCTATCTAAGCTTATATATACATGTTAACATAAGCTTAAGCTTTTGTCCCTTTATATAGTAGGTTAATATTATGCAGTAAGTGTGCTCTGGTAATGTGTTAACTAACTGCTTAGTAGTAACAGCATAAGGCGTCTTAACATTTAAAAAAAGAGAAAGAAGGTTATTAGAACAACAGATGACAGTAATGTTAATAAAAGAGATATATTTAGTAGCTACTAAGATAGACGTAGGGGTAAACATAGATATAGAGTGTAGCTAAAAGAATTATTGCTTATTTTAGTAATAAATAACACGTAAATTATTTTAAAGATTAATACATAGTAGCAGTACATAATATAGTTGCTACTATAAAGTTTTACAAAGTTTAGAGGACAGAAATATAGATAAATTAATAATAAAAAGTTCTTTAATATATAAAGTAAGTAGTAAAGTTATAGTATTTAAGAAGTAATTATAAAAGTCTTTTAAATAGCTAGGGAGAGAAAGCCTTTCTTACACCCTTATTAGCTAGAGAGATGGGGCTTGCGCCACTAAGGCTACCAGCAGGGGCTTGCCCCTGTCGAGGCTCTCTCCCCATCCCGTCTGAGCTTGCTGAGATAAGTGCTTCTGGATGTCGGTTTTTACCTGTTGAAAAACAAAAGAGGCGTCGCACCGTTGCTGTCCTCAATTACGGCGCAACCGATGGCTGCTTGTCAAACCTTCTCAGACCGTATGCACCCTCACTTGTAGCGACCTCGGTAGCTTTCGTCAGTTTATGTAATCCATAATTACAAAAGCTGTAATGGCCCTTGCCTCTCGTACCAACCTCAGGACGCGGTAAAGTGTCTCCTAATCTTCGCACGCCCTCGATCGCATCTGAATTATGAATTACATTATATGGACTTGCATCGCGTAAGGCTCAAGCGACTGCTTGCTAACTACACAATAGCAATACAGACGTAGTAATCAAGCCAGAGAGATCCGCAGCTTGAACCGACCCCAGGGTTCCATTTGTAAAAGTTAGCCAGGGAAATATTGGCATTCTTTGCAATGACTGCACACTCATCGCCGGACACAACCTTGTGGAAGGTCTTGCAGCTAGTCGTCATTCCGGATTGATAGGGAGTTGGCGTGGCAACTCCATTTCCTTTCGTCGTTGTTGAAGTTTTTAACGTTGTCGTCGGCGTGGGCCCAACACCAATGATACTGACACAGACATAGTAATCGAGCCATAAGGAAGCGCAGTTGGATCCGACCGTGGGATTCCAGGTGTAGAACTGCGACAAGCTGATGCCATATTTCGAAGCAATCGCGGCGCAACCATCTCCGCTAACAACCTTGTGGAAGGCATCGCAGTTATTTACAATTCCATTTTGAACTGGTGTAGGAGTGGCGATACCATTCGTTGGAGTTGTAACCGTCGATGTTTTGATCGTCGTGCTCTTGACCGTGGATGAAGGACCGACACCAATGATGGACACACAGACGTACGTATCGAGCCACAACGAAGCGCAACTAGTCCCTACAGCAGGGTTCCACGAGTAGAATTGCGACAAGCTGATGCCATACTTCTGGGCAATTGCAGCGCAACCGTCTCCATCGACGACTTTGTGGAAAGCATCACAGTTACCCACCATCCCTGATTGAATGGGGGTTGGCGTGACAATGCCATTGGTAGGCGTCGGAGTGGCGCCCTTGCTGGAGGTTGTGATAGGGCTGAAGCCAGGAACACCGGTGCACAGCTACAGGGTATATATTAAGAGAGGTATCGAACAGATGTTGGACCAAAACTTACATAGGTATCTATCCACAATAACTGGCATTGGTCGCCAATTCCTGGGTTCCAAGACACGAGATCCTTCAACGTCAACCCAGGATACTTGCTTATATATATGCCACATGTATCTCCATCCTTGACGAGATCCCAACGGTTACAGTTCTGCACCTGCCCAGGTTGAGTGGGTCCAGGAGGCCCTCCAGTGGACGTCGGTGTAGCCTTGGAAGTTGTCGAGAGCACTACTGTGCTTGATTGGGGTGGAGGCTCGCCAAATGCTTCTACGCAATAAGACTTGCCCGATACAAAATTGCTGCACTCGGCCGTGATGGAAGGGTTCTGTAGATATTGGTCAGCCCAAGGGACTACAAAGTTTATACTGGAAGCCCAAGACATACCCATCTTCGGAAGTCATCCAAAGAAATTACCCAGAGAGCCGGCATTTGACTGCATGGAATGGATCCATCATTATCATACCACCAAGTGCAGTACGGCGTCGTATTGGGATCGAATGGTAGCGCGGGCTTCTCGTCTCGTCTGGAGAATGGTTTCTCAGCCCATGAGGTAAAGATGTGCAGCGAAAACGCTGCGAGTAAAATTGGACGACCGATCATCTTGCCGAAGTGCGTGTCGTTTCCTAGTACCCGTCCCCGCTATTTGAATACCTTTCTTTAAACCTTCCTAGTTTTCAATCCCGAGTTTACCGCATCATATTTTCCTGTACGAGAAGCAATATTGGAAGGATTTCCAAATTTCCACAGCTCTAGGACAGACCATTTCACGTGGGAGACTGAAATTGTGCCTTGCAGTAGGCCCTGCATGTTACTCTAGACTTTCTTCCCGGTCATCAGTCGGTCAGTCGAAGAAGCGCTGTTCCTCATGCTATAAAAGCCTTGGCCGCTAAGGCGTCTGGTGTGTATTGGGCCACTCCAGCCACCAGACCTGCCGGAAAAAGACATCTAGCCCCTGTCTACAAATTGGCTATGTTGGGGTTGCTTACACTCGAATAGATTTCGGATGACTGCGTGATACCGTATTTTTATCCCTGTAAGAGTCTAGTCTGACAACGATCATCTTTTCCACGCTTCGGTTAGGCTCTTGGCTCATAGCCAAGGATTACCGCCAAGAGCCTCCCCGGGCCTTCGCCTCACGCAGGAACCCGCACCGTCCATCACAGGGCCCTCTCTCGGCCCCATTCATATAACGCTGCTCCTCAAGGCTATATGGACTCTTGGCTCTCATCTTCCTACCTACATTCATCCTGTTCTCTTACATCTCCTGCATACAACCACGCTATTCTCGGGCGTAATGGCAGACTTAGACAGTTATGACCTTCCAGACTTTGGCTTTACCCCTTTTGATCAATTCGTTATTGTACGTCCGTATATCGAGACCCTGAGGTTCCATTTCGACTTCACATGGCCCCCAATGGGCTTAATTCTGACGGTCCCAACAGGAGCATTGGGATCCAGAGTCTGCCTTGAGCAAGGAGGAGCAAAAGGAGACCCTTGTGCGGCAGTGGTTGCAGCTCGGACGTAACTCTCGCGATGTAAATTTTCTTCGCTCATTGCCCTTGTTGCATGCCCCTATTCGGTGTCTAGAACTTACGTGCCAAGGCATACCATAAGAAAACCTCCACCCCTGACTGGGTGGTACCAGAATATGTCCCGCAAGACCTTCTAACCGACAATGAGCGCCGGGTCAATGGCCAGCTTGGCGTGAGCAATGTCCTCTGGATCAGGACATGGTATGGCTCTGGAAGTCCGGCAGCATCAACGTCACCTTCCAGTGGCGTGTCGACAGAAACGGCTCAAACGGATGTAGTGAGCCATGCAACGGCCGACGCGGCTTATCGCCGGCTTTGGCGAGCAGCCTTCTTTGACAACGACGACGACCCGAATGATGACTTTGACGATTATCGTACTGTGCATAGGTCGTTCATCTTTGATGACGATCCGGTTGCCTATGGTGTGACCCAACACACTTCGGATGAGAATGTAGCGCCAACTGGATCCACTCCTGGGTTCATCGTAAAAGCGATGATGCATTGTCCGGACCAATTGGGTGGGTTCAGTGGCGGAGACTGGAGTGGCACTGAGGAGGAATATCTGGCAACGAGCCAGAATCTGCTGGTTATGATAGCTGACAGGAAAGCCTGCGAAAGTGGTTGGGTGCTTGAGATCGGCTTGAACCACAGGGCAGAAGTGCTTCCGGGGCGGATTAGAAGCAAGGCGAGTCGAATAGCCACCGATTATGGGAATTGGCAAACGGAGGGGATGGCATTGAGGGAGACAACAATGGGGGAGGATACGGAAACATATGCTCAACGTGGTGATGGCTGGGCAAGTGACTGAGGGATTCAATGCTGCTAAGATAGTTATCGTCGACTGGAAAGCTCCGCAGCATCACAGCGACGGCCGTTCGCCCAGTCACCTAAATTATAGGCGATTAGAATAGTCTCTTCGTAGAAAATTACTAGACAACACATATACACGAAATACTCTCTATCAAGTCGTGATCTCCCAAATCGATTCACCCAGTACCACCCGTAAGCTCAGCGTCTCTGCAAGGCACGCTCTTGACTACCCGGATCGGTGAATGTGTGCATGCCGGTGGTAGTGATTATGATGATGTTGCCGTTCACCCGTTGTGCTCAAGCCCTCTTCAGCCACACTGTGTGTGGCCTCGGCACCGGGCTCTTGGCTGAAGCCTCCTATCGGTATCTCGAATTCTTCCTCGTCATCAGCTATCTCAATATCTGTATATGGTCAGTCAATATTGTCAGGGTGCAGGCGTTGGGTTGGCTTACTTTTGATCTTGAACATCTCCTCCTCGGTGGGCTGCTCGCCTCTCTTGATCTTGGAGGCAGCGGCAGCATTGTCAAACTCAACAGTGCACAAGGTTACCCTAACAAAACGGCCGCCAGCTGTGCCCCACAGGTCATGACTTCTCGTTCCTCCCGTCGTGCAGTAGGCATTTTTTCCTCCGGCAATACTGTACTTCGGGTTGTCCATAAGATTGAAGGCGCCAACCACAGTTGCGATGTCTCCGGACTTGAGCTGGTGATTAAAGACTTGATACGATCCTCCTTGGGGTGTCGTGGTCGTATCCGAGTTGAAAAGGTGGAAAGTGAAGTCTTTGCGATTGTTATAGGCCCAGTTCCAAGCCGAATCCTTGTTGGGCGATCCTTGTCTGCCACCCGAACCATACAAAGCATTGGCACCTAGCCAATCCTGGGTCCACGGCTTGGAGGCAGACTTCTCGTTTCCTGCCGAGTCTGCCCAAGTCACTGTCTGCGATATGCGTCGCGGTAGACCATTTATCGTTCCTTGGGTTTCTTGCTCATACCCAGGGACACAGGCGCGGGAATTGGTTATGCTGTTGCCGCCTTCATTCAATCTGCGAAGTTATCAGTAGAGTTGGGAGTATCGATTGAGCGCGCTTACGAGTTGAAGGGGAATTCGTCGCAACTAAGCCAATTTCTGTTACCCGGTTCGCCTTTATCTCTCGATGTTGCGGTAGCAAACTCATTCGACTCTCTTATACATCGATCGGACCACGTTTCCGTAACGGTCTTCTGTTCGCCTTTCGCGTTCGTATAGATGTGCGTGTGCGTGGACCTGGATCCGCAAACATTCTCGCGGTTCGAGCCTTCGCCGGAGCTCCCACTATCGCTGAAGCTTCCAGTGAACGGGCCGGAGCCCAGACCTTGAGATGTGAAGAAGTTCATAATGTTCGTACAGATGCCCGGGAATGGACCATTCCAATGACCAAGGTCTTCGTCGACAAAGAATTTGCAGTTGTACATGAAGGCGGGTATACTGTTCATACAAGGGACGACTGGGTCCGTATCCATTGGATCGCCCTCCTCGGGGTCAGCTCGGCGTGTTCTGGAGGATGGAGGCTTTTTGCCAGGAACCCATTGGCATGCATCACCAGCGCAAGCCCCGCTTGGGCATTGACCACCGTCGTTGCAAGTGAAGAAGCTGGTTGCCTTTTCGTTTAGAGCGCTGGCTTCCTCCCCCTCTTCGCGCCTCTGGAGGGGCGACAAGGCACCTCTGGTGGAGTGCCAGTCTTCGTCGAACCAGTACGTCGAATTGTAGAGCGGAGAAAAGTCATCCTTGTACTCGCCATCGGAGATGAAGGGGTTGCGTTTTCCAATGGAAACTTGCTGCGACAATGTCAGTAAATGCTATGGTATTCGCCAGCCACATCAATGTTGACCCGGGGTCGCGCCTTGGTTGGTACTCCAGAGGAACCCAGACCCATAGAACTTGTGAAGTGGTACTTACGCCGTGGTGCTCATATAGAATCTTCTCTCTGTCCTGGTTCCACAGTTGTAGTGCTATTTCTGTGAGCTCAGGAGAATGTGATGTATGGGGCATACTCACGCTTCAGTGCATAATTACCCAACCATTTGAACCTATAGTGAGCTCAGAATGAGAACACGAGCAAGTGGGCAGGATCACCTACGTGGCTGTTCCGCCAATTCCAAAGTTGTAAAGATATTTGATGAAGATATCGTATGATATTGCAGGCGTGTTCCCAATGCCCCCTTGTCCCTTCCCTATCACTTCGAATCGGAAAGTGTTGTTGATGAAACCAACGATCTGCATTATGTAAGAAAACCAATTACTCCCCCAAAAGTCTCATCGGCAATCGGGAAGACTTTGGACGAACCTGCGCGTTTACAATGTCACCCTTGACGCTGGGTGTGTTAACCTTAATTCCCAGATTGACCTCTGGGGTGATTAACAGGTCAACACCAACCGATGCTTGCACGGAAGCATCAAGGATTGGTTCAAAGTCTATCAAATCATGTCAGTAGTTGGGTCATGGCGGGATGTGACTGCTGCGTCCTACCTGTTCCTTTCGATCCTTGCTCCGCGCTCTCGGCAGGCTTATCAAATTTCTGTCTTGCCTCCGCCTCTTTCACTTGTGGGAAGTATATTTCGTATCTCGGGAACGTAATCTTCGCGCCAGCTTTCAACTTTCTATACACTGTTAGCAGGCTTGATTTCCGTAATTTGAGGTCAGTTTCAAAAGGACGTACCCGGCCACAGTTGCCTTGGCCCGCATTTCGCCATAGACATCCAACGTTGGCCCAATAGCAGCGATGCTGAGCTCCAGTTAGCTATAGCATAGATGAAACGGCGCGACAAGGTGTACCCTTTGATAGCGAGACCCGGATATGATAGAGTATCAATGATCTTTAAACGCTCCTTCATCCTGTACTCGATCTCTGCATTGCCTTCAACCTCCAGCGTTGCTTGAGCTACAGGCTCCATCTCTGCGGCAGGTTGTTAGCTGCAAACATTCCGAGTGGATGAGCCTGGGAAAAAAAACACACCAAAATAAGCGTAGATTTGCTCCACGTTCAAGGGGACAATGGTACCTTGGGCATAATATGCCCATCGTGCGTTCATGTCAAATTTAGCATCGAGCGTGACATCCAAGCCAGCCTTCAAGACGGTGTTGCCCCTTGCGCACTGTGCCCGCTTGCGGTACAGGAGCATTCTCTTGTGCAGTGACATAGGTAGCTTGCCTTGGTCGGATGTCTGGACACGAGTGAGTTGTTTGAGCCAATCAGTAAGCTCTCCCCAGAATCGCTTCTCATGGCGCGAACGCTTGGTAGTCCCTTTGGGAGACTCTGTGCCAGTCATATCGTCCCAGTAGGGAACTAAGTTAGTGTAATCAATTCGGATATTGACGGTTTGATCCTCACGCCGGATGTTTTCAAAATGGTAATCGAAGACAAGCTTATACACCCTTGAGGTATGGTCAGCTGCTGAGCGTTTCCGAATGTGATATGGTGGCAATTCTGTCTCGTCGACTGGGTCCATGGAAACGACACGTGCGAATGGACCTGATCTACGGTCGAATTAGCGAATCACACTCGGCTGTGTCGTTGTAACTCGCCTAGCTGCTGCGAGGCATGCTAGTCGGATGACAACCAAGTAAACACTTACCCAATGTGTCGTGGCAAAGCGATAATGGTATCGTATGCGTTGTCCATAAAAATCTTCTCACAATGCTCCTCGCGTCCTGACCGGCAGTAGACGAGATGAGTGCCTTCTTCGTGCTCGAAGGTCCAGTCCATGAGATCTGGATCGTCACGGGTGAGGGTCTCACGCCGTTTGATAGGATTGCCTGTTCCGTCGTCATCATGGACAAATACGTAGTCCCTGGGAAAATTGCCCTGCAAGGCACCCTCGTCTCCGTCGAGAAGAACGAATCCATAGGGATCGTCGCCGACGTCAGTCTCATCCGGGCCGTGCGGATCATGGTCGTTGTTGCCGTACTACCAAATAGTTAGTTTCAAGGGACAGAAATATAGGCTTGCGGATGATCTTACGTTGTCCTTGTATTCATATACAACGTCGAACCCATGAGGATGCGGAAAGATCTTTTTCACATCAAATGGAAGTGTGACGTTCCTCAGAGGATCGCAGCAAAAGAGATGTTCGATTCCTGGATTGTACGACATGCAGGGTGCTGGTAGGCCAGCTGGCCGTTCTGGCAGGGTGGCTTTGGCGATGGTAACTTGGCCTTTGGGGCACTTCGTATCCATACACTGCTGCATCGTCGATGAGAAGTACGTGGTTTGACCATTGTTCTTCTCTGGTGTTGGTACGTTCGGTTTCCACTGGCAGTCTTGATATATGCCCGCAATAGGGCAACAATAAGATTGATATTGCCCCTTGGGGCATGGCTTACCCCCGGCCTCGTTTCCTCGGTAGGTGAGGGGTCCGCCTGAGGGGCACTTCAACTCCGTCTGGCAGTCGGACCAATGACATTGTTGAAGCTCGGAGGCAGCATCGCAGCATAAGGATCGCGCTCCGCTAGCGCACTTCGCACCACCCTCGTAGGTTGTGTACTGATCCGTGACCAACTCGTAACGGCCATCCCCGCATGTCTTCTCTTCGAAACCACCATCGCAATAGAACGAACTGCGCTCGGGAGCTCCAACCCACTTGCAGTTGACCGCTGGACTCTTGGGCGAACAGCACACTGTTTTCCACTGCCCTTTTGCACACGACTCAATCTCCTGAGCCAAGTTTCCGGTTGAGTAAACATTTCCCGCCGCTCCGCCAGGGGCATGTAACCGCTCGATTGGGATGTCGCCTTTTGCGCACGTATTAAACTTGCCGCTGCTACCGGGGCCGGAGCAACCCATCGTGACATAGCAGCCATCACCAGTAAGGCCTCCGAGCTCTTGAGCAAGAGCATCCTTCTCTTCGTCGGAAAGGGTTCCCCCCTCTATGAGAGCCCCTGTCACGAACTCATCTCCAAGGAGTGCCGACAGTGCTTGGAAGTCCGGGGTATCCTGATCAATGGCCCATATCATGACACCACCCAAGCACTCGCTGTCGAGAAGCTCTCGCTTCTTAGCGAAGCTTTTGGCATCGTCATACGTAATCCATTGTGTATCATCATACACCATGTACGTTACTCCAGTGGCATTTTCGTACACGATCTTCTTATCGTTCAGACGTTTGGATCTTGCCATGATCTCCTTAAAGGAAAGGATACCACGTTCACCGGAACACTCGCCTGCTGCACCGGCATCTGCGAAGACACATCCAGGCGTATTGCATTTGCTGTCAGCCAGGGTGAAGGTCCGTCCGTAAAATCCTGTACATCGTTAGAAAACATGGCTTGAGACTACAATATGGTACCTTACCTGTCCCCAGGTTGACTTTGGATAAGTCGACATCATTGCGCCGAAGTAGATCGAGGCCGCTCTCGATCTCAGTGACATTGGTATGGCCGAAAACATATGGTCCAGTCCACGGATTGTTCTGATCCCATTTCCCGCGTTGATCGTATGTCATCATACTAATGAGATCAGTCTAGTTTCTATGTCTCAAGACAGAGTATTTACTTGAACCAATCTACTTCGCTCTGCATGCTGTTCACATCAAAGTGCTGCAAGTACCAGTAGCTAGCCGGTATTGCAACGGAGAGCGTCCAGGAAGGATTGCGATCATCGAATTGGGATTTTATGGCGCGGAGAAGGTAGACATAGTTGTCGAAGTCCGCTTTATGGCCACCGCGGTCATCCGCTTCAGCTGAAAAAAGTTTAACACCACAGTGTCTGATTGTGGCTGTGGTAGAACTTACGATACTCCCAATCTAAATCGATGCCGTCCAGTGCATACTTCTCCAAGGTCTCTACTACACTCTTGGCAAAGGTTTCTCGAGAAGAAGAACTGGCAGCCATGTTCGTCCATGCGTCTCGCGTAGGGCCTATGTCACAGATCTAATCAGTACAAGGTAACATTGGTCAACTAAGAAGCGTACTCACCGGGATCGGTGAATGTCCAACCGCCAATGGAAAGAATGACCTGGAGTGCTGGGTTCTGACGCTTCAGCTTAACGACTCGAGATATGATCCCTGAGCTGTCAATCGTGACTTTGAAATCGCTGCTGATGCCTCCAAAAGCGATGTTAATGTGCGTGAGTGCATGAACGGGTATATCTTCCGGCCTGAAGGAGTCGCAATCCCTGGTATCGGCCCAGGATTCGTAGTAGGCAATGCGTCTTTTCCTCCACGACGAAGCGCATTTCTTGCGCTCTGGTTTAGCACAATTGCTCTGACAGCTTTCATTCCTATTCGATGACGTTGCGCAGAATTCCTCAGTTGTCCCGCAGAAGCCCCAGCGACTACAGCAAACCTTCAAAGGACACTCCTTGCCCTTCGGATTCGCCCACTGGCCACACTCGGCGGTAGCATTGCAAGTACCGATACAGTTGTTTGGCGCGCACCAATCATCTCCAAAACCACAACTGCCTTGTTTAGAGCAGCATCCCACCTTGCACTTGTTTTCGGCATCGCAGGTAGCCCCTTGCTGAGAAGAGACAAAAGAAACGACTGATAAGGTTAAAAGTAATGCTAGAAGATAGCGTAACGAGAGTGTAGAAGTCATTGTGACAAACGCTATCGCAACGCTTGCGAGTCACTCACAGCTGACAACAACAATACGCAGAAGTGATAGAGAATGAGTGCAAAGGAGTGAAAATGAGTGTGTCAAAGAGGGACTTTTGACGGAAGGCGTAAGGAAAGACCTGACCGTCAACGTAAAACGACAGAGCGCAGCGTTCTCTGGACAGAACTGCTCTTCACCAATTCGAGCATCATGATGGGATATAGAGAGTGGTCGCCATCGCACAGGTGATCGACCCCTGTAGAGGGGTTCGCCTTAACCGAGTGTAGAATCATGCCGCACGAAGAGGGGCGGGAAGTTCGACCTCGTATCTGGTAAGACTCAATCAGGATAGCACTTTTACGCCCTGCTGGAAACTCAACTCCACGAATGAGGTGTGGTCGTTAAAGCGTTGGAGTTGGTTGTCAGATGAAATTCTTGCTCTTGGCAGAGGATCAGGATCTGAAACCTTGCCGTTATGGTCTGGTAAATTACCGTTTCGTTACCCGACGGGGAGATAAAGTACCCAGATCTTACGCCAAGGGGCCAAGACCCGCCCCGCCGGCGTGCCGCCCAAGCTAGTGGCCGACAGATGTTCGCCCCGTGTGATGCGGCCCGATCATCATCCTTCGTGACCCTGTATCGATAGATTCTATTAGGCCACCCTGAAGGATTCTGAAAGGGTATGCGGATACAATGGATCATGCTGCGCGAGAGTGTGGACGTCCTCCTGCTTCTCTGTTTCTCTGAGCTTTTCCCTTGCTGAACTCAGTCGCTCGCTCACTGTTGAGGCTATTAGCAAATAGTCTTTCTGTCTGTCTCTATCAAAATGCTTCTCTACATTCTTTTATTTCTTTTCGGCTTCGTGGTATCCTTCAGTGTTATTCCGTCCACTGGGCACCTTCCTGCGTCAGTCCGAGCCGCGTGCAGATCAGCTTTGGCGGAAAACATTACACAATGCTCAGATATGCTACAGTATCCTGTGGAATTCATTCCAGCATCTTCATTGAGCGAAATATGCACATCCAGTTGTGGGGCAGCATTGAACGCCATGTATTCCAAAGCTTCTTCGACTTGTGGAACAGGTAGTGTGAACGTTACCGCCGTAAACGACACCATGTACACTATACTCACACCCTTAAACCTCGCTGGTGAAGTGGTATTCAGGTACAACTTAACATGCCTCCAAGATAAGTATTCTATCGGAAGATTGGCGGTTTCTTGCTAATATCTCCAGCGTTTACGGAATGGAGGCTTTTGCAAAGACGTGCTCAGCAACATTACAGCAGAGAAGTTGTGTTCTGATTGTTACATGAAGACAGTACAATTGGGGTTCGGCGAGCCGCTAGAGAGCGATAATGGATGGACGCCCCAGGATTTCAATTCACTGAAGCAATCCTGCGGTATACCGACTACCTCATACCCTGTCAAGCCAACTACACCGGTCGGAACGCCCGGGCCGACGTGAGTCTTTTCGATGCCGCAGACATTCTGTCTCTGACCTCTACAGACCTACATGCACGACTAAAACCACTGCAAAGGCCGGCGATACCGCCAACTCACTTGCCAAAAGTCTCTCCGTGTCGACCGACCGTCTCCTAACATATAACAACCTTCCTTTGGCGATGAATGAGACATTCAAAGGGGGAGAGGTGCTGTGTCTTGACAACGTTGCGCAATGTGTGATTCGCCAAGTTGTTGTCAGCGATACCTGTAGCTCTTTAATCAAGGCCAGCGGCAGTGGTGTAGACCAGCTCATGTTCACTAGCTGGAATCCAACCATCGGGTTCGAATGTCGAAATCTAGCATCTATGGCAGGCAAATATGTTTGCATCTCTCCGCCGGGATCAACGACACTGTTCACGCCAATTGCGGGCACTCCAACACCTCCGAGCACGACCAGCAAGACACCAGAATCGACCTATAGCTGGGGCACCGTGCCAAATGCACCCATTAGCTCCATGAACTTTACAACTTCATGGTTGTTCCCAACTGAATTGGTATCGATACCAACGCGCACGGGAACGGCACTACCTCACGAATCCGTCACTGCGATTGCAGCTCGCATCTCCAATTGCCCTTTTCTTAAGGAAGAAGATCCTTCCTGGGACGCGGGACTGGCCGACGATGAATATCACCTACACTCCTGGGATCTTGACGTCGAATGCATTGAATCTTGGGATCCCTACTGTCATCCTGAGCCGACTGCCGCTATCTTGCCTAGCCCGACCAATATTGCATCCTCTTGCTACCCGACGATTTCTACGATAATCCCCGATGGGTGGGTTGCTCCACCAGCACCCACTAGCACCGGTACACCTGATAACTGCAACAAATGGCACGTAGTTGGTCCCGGAGATACCTGCACCGTGGTTGAAGCCAAGTACAAGATATCTGACTCGTCCTTCCGCCAATGGAACCCTACGATCAACGGCCAGTGTGGAAATCTGGTTGCAGGCATGGCATATTGCGTTCGAGTGTGGGTAGAGCCATCTGTCACCAGCTCTTCGAGGCCAATAACGAGCACGCTGAAACCATCTCCCACATCGAGCAAATCGTCCTCCACGTCCGCAGGTCCGCCGGGCCCAACGCAGTCTGGCACTAGCCCGACATGTACAAAGTGGCATGTGTACAAGCAGGGTAAGAATACTTTTGCATTGATTCGCAGCGGATATCATCTAACAAGTACGACAGGTGACACATGCGAATCGATTGCCACTCAATATGGCATCATCGTCAGCCGGTTTCGCCAACTGAATAGGGGTGTAAACACCGAATGCAGTAACCTAGTCCTTGGAAACGCTTACTGTGTGGGATAATAAGCTATAGCTTTGATATTTATAAGGGAGATTTTATTCTCTAACTAGACCAGACAGCACACCATCACTTTTGAGGCATACTGTGTTGCTCGCTTGTGGTGTGCAAGTGTGAGAGATCGGATAGCCTTCTGTACAGTAGCATCGGATTGACATTGTGACTCTAAAAGACTCTGACTTGGGGATGTATTTGAAATTTATCAAGCCCGGCAGGCATTTCTGTCAGGGAATTACTTGGTGTCCACTTTTGCTGCATGCAAGCTCTATGAACCCCACTAAAATTAACTATGTGCTAGCTAGTCTCCTAACTAACGAAACTTAACAACGCAACGCTAAAAAAAAACCTAGTGTAAGGGTCTAAGATTGTTAGTTAAAAGACATACTTTTATTTAACATAAGTCTAATAAGTTTTAAAGTAATAGTAGTAGAGCTATAATTAAAAAAGCTTTCTAAAGTTGTATTTTAAAGCTAAATCTATACATTATATTTAAGCTAATTTTAAACTTTGAAATTAAATTAAATTAAACTTAAATTAAACTTATAACTTAACTTAATAGCTCTATATTAAATTACTATAAAAGTAGGTTAACGTACCTAACGGGTTGGCCGGCCACTTTTGCCAAGCCCCTACTAAAACTACCCTTGTAACGATCCTCATGAATCGTTCCATCTCGGGTCGCTCGGATCCTATCCGAAGGGTCCCCGTATCAGCCCCGACCATGACTCGACCCAGTCCCCCGCAGTTACCCCTATTCCCGCATGTATTTAGTCGCACCTCGCCCCTGTAGCTAGCTCAGTAGTTTTCTAATATCCTACGTACAAGGCCTATAGGTGTTATTGGTATTCCCAGGTCTCTAAGTCCCTACGCACTCCTATATGCCTCTAAGTAGATTTATACTGCATTTAGACCTATTGTCTTGCCTGCGCTGTTATATTATATTAGAAAACTTACTTTTACTAGTAACAGCTTTATTATAATATTACATTAATTATTTATTTAACTACGTCTAAGTTCTAAGAAGTGTTTAATTTAGTTTAAGTTACTATTTTTACACACTATTACATTAAATTATTTAGTTAGTATAGATAAGATCCTAAAAACTTTTTATTAACTAAAGCCTTTAGGTTTAGAACTTCTTATCCCCTATAATTAAAATTACCTTTAGAAAAGTTATAAAAAGTGCGCTAAAGTAAAAACTTAGAAACTACTAATAACTTATTAGAATTAGAGATAACTACTAATACCTAACTCTTAACTACTATTAGATTCTATTATAAAGACTATAACTTATTCTAGCTATAGCTAAGGCAAGATGCTTACTTTTAAAACTAAACTACTACTAACCTTAACAGCTAAACCCTTTTTTATAGGACCTAAAGCTAAAAACTTACTAGATTTAGAGTTAAACTCTAGTAGTATAGCTTTTAAAGACTAAGTTGCTTAATTAAAAGCATAAATTAAATAGCTAACTAGATTAAAAACTATTAGTTCTAATTATTTTTTACTAACTACTAAATTACTTTTAATAATGCCTTAAATTACTTCTGCTACTCTAATAGTAAGAGACTTTTTAGGCACTTTTAAGCTTTTTTAAAGCTACTTTACTAAATATATGCCTAAGATTAAGAACCTTACAGATAGTAAAGAACTTATATTTAAATAATAGTAAGCCTCTATTATAGATAGACTTAATATTAATGCAGATTACTATTAGAGTAAGCGCGCACACATAGCGTTAGTATGGGGACACACTGCTAGTATTACAAAGGAATACCTAGAGCCTAGATACCTAGCTAAATTAGACAACTTTTAGTTTAGAAACATAAAAAAAATAATTAAGCTTTTATAAATATACTTTATTACTAGTAATAAAAAGATAAAGGCGCAACAGGCGTTTTAGACTCTAAAAATAAGTAAAAAAGAAGTGTTTTTTACTTTTAAAGCTTACTTTATTAGTGCTGCTGTTAAAGAGTTTATATTAAAGTTAAAATAGTTTTTTTACTTATAAAAAAAAATACTGCCTAGTCTAAAAGTACTAAACTTAGGTTTTAAGCACACTTAGAAAGGCTTCTTTAAGACTATAGTAGCCTACTTAATAGCTTACAACATAGAAAGAAGAAATACCTCTGCTATTTTAAAGTAAACTGTTAATCTTACCTAATAGTCTACTGTTAGACCTAGTACAGATTAGTCTTAGAAAGTTTCTAGTAATACATCTAAGGCAGTATACTATTCTAGTGCACTCTAACCTGCACCTCTGTTAGTACTCTAGTTTACCTTAGTTACCTATAGACAATCTAGCTAGACACCTGCTCTAGAAAGACAGACAACTTCTAGCAACTGTTATAATTATAGAAAACTAAAACATTTTACTAGCAACTGCCCTATCTCTAGAGTATAAAAAATAAAGGTAGAGTAGTAAGATTTTAAAAAAGAATTTATAAACATAAATAATTTTAATCTAGATGCTTTCTAGATAAAAAATAGTAACACTTAAAAAAACTTTTTATTTTAGGCTTAAGTAAGTATAATTTATTAAATATTAATCTATTACACTTATTTAAAGGAAAATACTTTTAAGTTTTTACTATTTTATATTTAAAAAGCATTAAAGTCTATTTAAATTTTTTAGTTAATACTAGCGCTTATAGTTTTTTATTTATTAACTTACTAACTACTAAGTTATTATTCTAATGCTTTTATATCTCTATCTAACACTTACTATTTAAAGTTATAGTTAAGGGCTTTTAAGATTAGATCTAAGTCCCTATCTACTAGTATATCTGCCTGTATATGTAAATTAATAGAAGAAGCATCTAAAACTGCCTTTTTATTATTATAGACCTTAGCTTCTAAGATTATATTATTAGCATTAAATAGTTATGTTGTTTTAAACTCTATCTAGATATAAAAAGAAATTAGATTATATAGCCTAGTAAATATCTACCTACTTATAAACCTTTGCTGCCCTTACTTATGCAACTAACCTAGCTTACGCGTAATAAAAAAGTAGAGCTAGATATTAAACAACGCAACACACTATAAAAAAAGGACTAATTTTAGTAGTTATGCAGCCTAATAATCTACTGCATTAAGGGTTTGCTAAGGCTACTAAAATTATATAGATCTTCTATTATCTATAGTTTAAAGATACTTAAATTATTTTTCTGCCTATTTATTAAGAAGTTTAGAATAGGTCTAAAAAAGGTCTGTTTAGCTACTATTACTTTAATTTTAGTAAATGCTTTTTATTTTAACATAAAAAGAAAAAAGAATAAGTTCTTTTTAACTTTTATTTATAAAATTAAGTAGTTAATTAAAGATAAGTAAGCCTTATAGTTAAACACTAAACATAAAACTAAAGTATTAGTAAACCTTTAATTACCCTTTAAATACTATTAGTACTAAGATGTATTTAGCTACACAGCAGCTTACTAGCTACTAGTACATTGTCTATATAACTACAAGATTGTCCTTACAGAGCCTCTCTCTAACAGTTACAGTCTGTTGTACAAACAGAACCTTAAGAAGCTAGAGGTAATAAAGAAATATGTTATAAATAATCTAAAATATAGCTTTATTAAGTAAAGTTAGAGCCCTTTTATATCTTTTATTTTTTATGTATAAAAACTAAATAGCAACTTAAATATCTACATTAATTACTGTAAACTTAACACTTTTACCTGCAAGAATGTGTATCTAATACTGTGCATAGACAAACTCCTGTTAAGACCTACTAAGGCAGCAATCTTTACTAAGTTTAATATTTACGCAGCCTTTAATAAGATTAGAATAGATCTAAGCTCTAAAAAGTGTACTACTTTTTAAACATAATATAAAACTTATAAGTGTAAAGTCTTACTTTTTAGATTATGTAATAGTCTAGTAACTTACTAGCGCTATATAAATAATGTATTAATTAACTATCTAGATAATTTCTGTATTACTTATCTTAATAACATCTTTATTTACTTTAAAAATAAAGCAACTTATATCCTTTATATTAAAAAAGTCTTAGAAAAGCTTTAGTAAGCAAGATTATAAGTAGAGATTAAAAAAAGTAAATTTTATATTACTTAAATAAAGTATCTTAGCTATATACTTTTAAATAAAGGACTAGAGGTTAACTTAAAGAAAGTAGAGGTGCTACGCAACTAGTAGGCGCCTACTACTATAACAGGTGTAAAATTCTTTTTAGGCTTTACTAGATTTTATTAGCAATTTATTCTAAAATTCTTTTATATAGTAAAACTAATTATTACGCTTTAAAGCCTTACTACTTTTTTTATATAGACTTTAGAGTGTAATGTAGCTTTTAAAAAGCTAAAGTTTAAACTATTAAAAATACTTACCTTTTACTATTTTAACTTTATGTTGTAAACTAAAATTAAAACTAACACTTTTAATAGAGTAGTAGCAGAAGTTCTTTTTTAGAAATAAGTAGATAGAAATTAGTACCTTATATTATTTTATAGTAAGGTCCTATCTAGTTTAGAGCTAAACTAGGAGATACACAACAAGGAGCTATTTATAATTATTATAGTGTTTAAATAATAAAGAGCTAAGCTTACATTTATAGCAACAAGCACTCTAGTATATACTAATTATTATTTATTAGAGTACTTTATAATAATAAAGGTGCTAAATGCTTATTAAGCCTATTAGGCTAAAAAGTTAGCTTAGTATTACTTCTAAATTAAGTACACCCCTAGTAAAAATAACACTAAGGCAGACATTTTTAGTTATTATAAATAAGATATAGAAAATTTAAGAGCAGCTTAAACTAATAATAAGTTAAGAGTCTTACTAAAACTGCACTAACTGCACCCCTAAATTAACTCTAAACTAGCCTAGTACTACATTGCTTAAACAATAACTTAAGCAGCTACACTAAACATTATAGAAAGACTAGACTAGGTTATATTTTTAAATTTTTTAAAATTAATTAACATATTACTCTAAAAAAATTAAGCTTTTTTTACATAAAAGTAAGAACTCTTACTTTACTATTATTAAATAGGAAATAGACTACTCCTTTATGCTAACTGCTTATATGTGCTAGTAGACTTATTGCTGTGTACCTAACTTATTTAAAAAGTCTACA